CACAATACAAGATTATTGATTAGATTCTATTACAAATTAGGACCCGATTTTTAAGTTTTTCATTATACATTATACTTCCCAACTTTTTAAGTGAGTAAAGTTCGAAGCAATGAATGCTTGTCATTTTTCCCTTCTTTTTCTTTTTTTTTTTTTTCCTCTGTACAGCACTGCACTCACCAAAGCACTTCTAACTTTAAAATATATTTATGCAGCTATAATACTTAAGAATAAAAAGTGCACAGGCCTCTGTATTTGTAAGAAGAAGGATACTTCTAAGAAGAGTGATTCAGGACAGGTATACATCAATCTAATGGATATTTTTAATCTCTTCCAATAGTTTATTCACTATCTGTTCATATTCCGTATTGCTCATTTTGTAATATTTATTGTATGCATGGTCTGTATTTTCTTATAATACAGTTAATTCAGCAAGCATTATCTAGTTTGTGTAATATTTTCTTATTAACAGATACGGTGTTAAAATAATCATTCCAGTTTCCAAGTGCCATTAGAAATTCTATTTTTTTTTTTCTCAGGTTTTTATTAACTCAATTTCTCCTTCCAGTTAAGATAAATTAGGTCCTCAGCTGGTGTTAGCCAGTATAACTGATGAAGCTTTGCAGATTTATGCACCTGAAATTTCAGTTCATCATTTCAATAGGTTATATTTAATGATAACCCTTAAAATCAGCTTCCTGCATAGTTTAAAATTAATCTACACATACTGTGGATTAAATGGTCTCCACCTGTGTTGGTAGGAAAGGGACAAGTGAGAGTAAATGCATGCACAGATAACCTGATAGTTAAGTCTTGTAATGTTGGAATCTCAAATGAACATTTCTACTGGGAACTACTCTAAACCACATGAAATAAAAACAATTATCTTCCATTGGGCAGAATCTGTAGGGTAGATGAGATACAGGTAACTGTATGACCATGTCTGGTCTTACAGTATGATGGTTTAATCAGGTCTGCCAAGGCTATAGTTTCTTCTTTTGTTCTTATTCAGTAATAGCAAAACCTGGGTATGTTTCTTATTGTATTAAATAATTTACTTTCAAGTCAGAAACTGTACATACATCTCATACATCTGTTCGTAAGGCTTGACACACTGTTACTTTCTGTTGCTTTTTTGAACGAAGTATTTGCTCATACTTTCATGTTAGAGGTCTTCAAAGACAGCTGAGCACAGACAGTACTCATTACCCTCATCCATCCCCTTCAGATTTATCTTTTTGTAGTAAGTCAACTAACATGGACTTTCCCACGGATTTTATCCGTAATTCTTTTCACTGTTTCCCTTCTATGCTTGCTGAAATCTAGAGAGGTAAAGGATCATACCATCTTATTCATTTAGGGAAGGAAGACTTATAGAGGGAACCTCTCCAAATCTGTAGGAATAGAAGCAATTGTTTGAAGATTAAACTTCATTCAGGTTATCGCTTCTGGCTTCACTTTCTGTCTGCATTTTATAACAGAAAAACTGATAAAGAATTGATTCGTCACTGAGCTTGCATGAGTATGTCAGCCATGACCCAGCCACTCACTAATTTCTAACACCAACACAACTCCAAAATTTTCATCCAGCTTTATTTTTCAAGTTTTGCTTTCCATTTGCTTAGCCATTGAGAAATAAAGTTGACTAGTGACGGTATGTGCAGCTGTTCTTATTAAATAGAAGTATTAGTAGTTTGGGATTTTAATTAATCCAGCCTACAGTTTTATGTGCATAATAAAATAGAAAATTAAAGAAGTGTGGCCACTGAATTGAGAGTTAGTATTGAACAAAATGATTATTTGGTACATTGATTGAGCAAAGAATATGCAATAATTTAATACGAAGATAAAGAAATGAAAATGGCTTTTCACATCCGTGAGTTCAAAAACTGCTAGGTACTGATGTGATACTGCAATTCAGCACATGTAATTACATTTAATGTTTGCTTTAAAAAATTAGAAAGAAAAGGAGACACTACAGTTTTGGGGGCACAATTTATTACAGACACAAATGATAATATGTTGAAGGTAGTCAACAAAACAAGCAGTCGGAGGTCTAGAAGCTAAAACATTTGAACCTGCAATTTAGTGCACAGATTTGAATATGGGTTCATTATTTTTATTTTCAAGGCCATTTGCCCTCAAACATAAATTGTTAGCTTGTTTATTAAAGCTTTTGGTAATTTAGACAGTTTCCCTAAAAACTGATGTATGCTTTCATTGTTCTGTGTCCACAGCAACAGAAAATATTACATCATATTATTATAAATGATATTCTTTTACTTTGTTTTTCTAAAACAAATCTTGCCAAAATATTTTTCTTCTGGTGAGGTTAAAGTAAAATAAGAAACATCAGACTGCACTAGTTTAGCAGCTGCAGATATGTACTATACAAGTTTTGAGTTGCTGAACTAGTAGTTGATATTTTCATATTCTCATCTCTCCTTCAGTGTATATTCATGTACATTCCTCAGACTAGATCAGTATTTGTATTCATGGCTGTATAATTATTGACTATGGCAGTGAGAAAGAGTACAATTATATACCGAGTGAAAATAACAAGTGTGTCAGCACAAGGCTTTTTCTTTATTTGGTTAAAAGCTTCATCTGTCAGCAGGCTTCCACGTCACTAAAATCATGGTGACGAGCGTGACAACAAGGCAGACGTGACCAGCAAATGTCACCTGCATCCTTGTGTCTTCATGTAGTGTCATGTGAGACAGGGTCACCACTGTCAGTTTTGTAGAGGAAGACTGACAGCATTCAAAAGGAAGGATCAGTAAGACAAATGAACGTCTCTTCAGTGATCAAACATACTCCCACCTGCACCTCCAGAGAAATGGGGAGGGATTTTCTGTGTACACAACACCTTGGTATCCATACGGATTCATGCAGGAAGAGTAGTGAAGGTAGAAAAATAATGTGCTCCGTCAAGTTATATTTTTTTCTTGAACTGTTTAACAGGGACTTATTGATGGAAAGAACAGCTTGCCTTGCTGGAGTTGATGGTATCAGAGGGAAAAAACAGCTGAGAGAGTGACTGCCAAGTGCAGCGGGCTGATAGAAATTAGTTTATGAATATATACATTCAAATGTGTACATATGTATATATAAATGTGTTACAAACACTTCATATAATGAGTTGATCACATTCATCATTACTCAGCTCTATCTGATCAAGTTCTGTCGTATGAGTAACCAGATGTTAGTGTAGAATGGGAAAAAAACAAGGTGATATAGAGGATTTCCTCTGGAATACACAATGCTGGGTGACAGCCAGGCTATCAATTTTCATACACTAAGATTTTGTATCCAGGGAGAGACTGATGTGGCATGGTGGGATTCTAACACTCAGAAGACTTTGAGATTATTTGTTCCAACCAGTATTTCCATAATTTACTTGTGTGTGTGCATATGTGTGTGTGTGTGTAACTGCATCTAATTTGTGCTCACAAACGACAGATGTCCTCTCCTTCCTTTGAAACATCAAAGAAAGACTGGTAATAAGATAGGGGTAAACAGAGCTGTAACTGCTTAAATAATTGAAGGTAGTAATAACAGCAAGGTGTAATGGGCTGGCTGACTAGTAGCCATCCTTCCTAGGAGATCAACAGCATATATACCCCAAACAGCTGAACCCAAACTGTCACCCACCAGAGCTCTCCATTCAGCCATTCAGGGAGCCTATTGAGTGCTTAGGGAGAATATGTCTTTTTTGAATATGTCTTTTTTCTTTTTTTTTTTTTTTTTTTTTTAAGATTAGCTCATAACTGGTAGCATATCCCCCTCTTGGAGGAACCACTTAAAGCGATGTGGTGATGAGCTCAAGCTAGTAACTCCTGTCAGATAGTCAAGAGGAAGAACTCTTAAAGGGAGTTGCAGTGCTCACAGTGACATGCGGACATTAAGGAATGTGGGAGCAGAAGACCAGACAGGAAAGCAGGCAGTCCCATAGGCAGATGGCAAATGAAAGGAAAAGGCAAAAGTAGAGGCAGGAAGTCATAAAAAAACAACATGATATTGACTCCAAAAATATTAGAAGCTACCTTGGGATAGAAGTAAGTTGTAAACAAGATGCTGCAGTCTGCGAAGGTTTAACCAGGTCCAAACAACAAAGTGGTTAATGAAAGGCATGTAAAAAAAGAAAAAAGGAGGTAGGCAACAGTAACGAGAGCTTCTGAAGAAATAGTAACTTTTTTTTTTTTTTCCTACATTATTTATTCTTTGTTTTGTGGATGTTCAACAGACACAGAACCATGTGGACAGCAACTTACATTTCCATTTTGCAGCTGGTGCAACATCTTACAAACTGGGTTCCTAAACTGTTGTTTGCCTTCATCTGTGTCTTTGCTGGATTAACCCATAGAACTGTAGAATAAATAAAAAAAAAAATAAATGAGTGTTTCTCTTAGGAAAAATATATATATATAAATTATATATGCATATATATATATACATGTACACCATATATATACATATACACCATATATATACACCAATAATCATTATCACTCAAAGTTTTGAATTTCATATTCTCTGAATAAACACACAAAATAGATTCTGTGAGCTAATCAGATGCTGATTCATCCATACATTCACACTTTCACAGGTTTCCCCTCCTTCTCCCAAGTATCACTGATTAAAAGACAAGAGATTATCATTATAATATGGATATGATGGATTGGAGATGTGTCCTGGTTTCAGTTAGAACAGAGTTAATTTTCTTCCTAGTAGTTGGTAGAATGCTATGTTTTGGCTTAGGATGAGAAGAGTGCTGATAACACCCCGATGTTTTAATTGCTGAAGAGCAGTGCTTATACTAAGCCAAGGACGTCTCAGCCTTTTGCTCTGTCCTGCCAATGGGCAGGCTGGGGGTGCAGCAAGAGCTGGGAGGGGACAGACCCAGGACAGGTGACCCAAACTAGCCAAAGCGGTATTCCATACCATCTGACGTCATGCTAAACAATATATAGGGGTGGCTAGCCGGGGGGGTGGGCCAGACTGCTCGGGGTTAGGCTGGGCATCGGTCAGCGGGTGGTGAGCAATTGCATTGTGCATCACTTGTTTGTACATATTATTAGTAGTAGTACTATTATCAATATTGTATTATTATTATTATTATTATTATTTTCCTGTCTTATTAAACTGTCTTTATCTCAACTCACAGGCTTCACTTTCCATTTCTCTCCCCCGTCGCAAAGAGGGAGGGGGGAGGGTGAGCGAACGGCTGTGTAGTGTTTAGCTGCCAGCCGGGTTAAACCACGACAAGATGTCAGAACAAGGTTCTACATATCCATTGCTAAAGGAACAATCAAACTAAGTTTAATGAGTGATGCAGACACAGACTTTCCTTTTCAGGATCAATTAGGAAGTCATGGTTAAGGCATATGTGATGCACTGAATTCCATAAGGTTCTAAATATGATTTGTCCTGATATGTAATGGCAGTAATATTCAGTATTGTTTAGTTGGATGTGCCTTTATCAGAGATGAGTAACAGCTCTAAGCGCAGAGGAAACTTCTGTTCTGCAAATTATCAGTTTTAATAACATCCCCCAGCCCTTTGGCTGACAAGCCCAGTCTCTTCCATCCCCTTTTTGTATATCCTTGGCACTTTGAAGTTTCCATTATTTGATTTTTTATTTTATTAACTTTTTTTTTTTTTTTTTTTTCTGAGGATGCTAAACACCACTGAAAATGCCAAAATCTGTCATTATAGTTGCCATAGATTGAACTTTTCAATTGAAGTCAGCAATCAGCTCACAGCCGACTTAATAACAGTTGGCCCAACTCCCTCAGATTTCTTGGAGGAGAAGCTGTGATAGCTGGGAATGTCAGTCCCCCTCCGTTCTCAGAATTGTTTTTGCTGAAGTTACTAAATCACTTCAGAGACTTCTTTCTCTGGTGCTTTTAATCTTGAGGGTTTGCAATTTACAGGGGAAATAGTTGTTGAGGGAACCTTACACAGGTAGTTTGGGAAAAATTCTTCAGCTCTGATAAACAAAAAGGGAGATCAATGTTATCTCAAATCACACACTATCTTATTTTATATAACCTTGCTTAAAAAAAAAAAAAAAAAAAAGAGAGAGACAGAGACAGAGAGAAATGGGAACATGCTACACATCAACCTGCCACTGATGGTGGAAAGGCTAATGTTTTCTAGTAACCACACGGCTAAGCACAGGCACAGATTGTAACACCACACAGGGTTAACCTAAGGTAAATACCTTGCAGCTTGTCTTTCTTACTCTCTGGCAACACTTGTGTAACTTGTCATGCCAGTGAAGTCATACAGAATTGAGCAAAACTAGCTGAAACCAAATATGCAGAGAAACATATTTGTCATTGCACTTAAGCTGACAGCTGTAGCAATTTTCTGTGAGCAGACATACACAGCTTGATGACAAAGAGGGAAGCTTGTGTGGATTTCTAATTGCAGAGTTCTCTTGCAGAGGCCACTGATAATGGGCTTCTGATTTTAAGAAGGATTAAGAAACAATCAAAACCAGGTGGTTTGTTTGGATTTAATATGCACAAATCATTGGGAATTTCTAACTGAATTAGGGAATAAGTTTTCCAGATTTTTCAAGAGGAAGCAGAAACTATTTTAAGATTCAATGTAGGATAGAAGTAATATGATAATAAAAAATGGGTCACTACTTCACAAAAAGTATAAGGAGAATTCATTAAAACCAGTAGTAGCAGAGGTAAGAAGTCTTAATTTTCACCACCATTTAACTGATCACTGTGACATTGACAACAGTATTAAAGGTGACACTGAATTAAAAGTAATTCTAATCTACTTGTATGATTTCTCACTGAAAGCTCCCAACTTCAAACACATTACAAGAGGGTAACTATCCATTTAGGTGTCTTCAAATTTATAGTGTACACAAGGCAAATCGAGTTAAATTAGCCTGTGACAAACAAGCACTGTACTAACTCATATGATTTTGCATTTGCTGTTATATGTGACCCTGGGACTATTCCCACAGCTCAGGTAATGCAGGTTGACTGGTTTTTCAGTGGTACTTTGTGCTTGTCTAAACAGTGACTTTAAAATGATTTGCTGAAAATGTTTGTATCTAAGCATTACTGAAAGCATAGTGAAAATAGATATCTACTCTTCACTCCATTGTGAGCAAAAAAAAAAAAAAAAAAAAAAAAAAAAACATTTTTAAAGTATAACCCTAATTAGATATTAAATATATATATATATATATGAGAGAGAAATTCTATTTTGCAAGTCAATAGACATTTTCCTTATATTCTTCAGTACTTTTCTATGTATGGTCTTCAGTTCCCTTTAAACGGCAGCTATCACTTAGTTCATTCCTCAGAGCTCACTGCTGATACCCCCAATTCACCACTAGTTTTTTTTTCTTGTTTCTTTTCACCTTTAAATTCATCTAGAGATTAAGAACCATTTCCTTTCTTTCACTGCTTGCTAAACCTTTCCCGTTTTGACTTCCACTGTAGTGAAACCGCCATTCTGCTCTTTTTTGGTGAGCTTCAGTTGTCTTGAAGAAATTCAGCCTTGTTTTGACAACGTCACTGATGGTAATGCTCTCACAAAGCTGTTTTCTCTCATAGTTTTCACAAATCTCTACTGTCTTCTCTCCTTATTCTTATCTCTCTGATTTCTCCTTTAGTGAGTCCATATAGTTCTCTCTTTGTTACATAATGCATTTCCTGTATAGCCTCCCTGAAGAAAATCAACCCATGGCACATTTTTACCTTCCATTCTTCTGCTGATAAATGAAAAGCCTACCTTTCCAATCTGGAATCTTGATTTGTTTAGACAGAGAACCCATCCCTCAGAGAAAAAGCATAGAGTAATGGGAAAATGAAATACACTTCCCAGCTGCTTGGGAGCAAAACCACAAATTTCTGTCAAGCAATCAGAAATTGTTTGTTCCCAAGATTTTTGTCTCCTGCAGTCTTGGTTACAGTGATTATTTTATCCTCACTTCTCAAGTCATTCAGATTACCTCAGTTCCCAAAGTCAGTTAGCTATATTAATTAATATGTTCAGCACACAAACTCTGATTTCACAAAGAAATTTCAAGCTCACTGTAAAACTCTTAATGGTCCCCAATTTGTGAATTTAAGTCTCTAAGTGTCTCCTTAGTTTGGTTGGCCATGCTGTCCTGTGGGCATGGCAAGTCCTCCCTAACAGATCTGTGAATCCACCTTTTTGCCTCTTCTCAGAGCACACCACACTGTACATTCCCTTCAACCTAACGATGTTTTAACTGGAACACAATGTGCTGCTATCTCCATTTTTATTTTTATTTTTTTTAAATAACAGATAGAAAAAATATGCAACAGTCTTATAAAATGACATTTGAAGAAAAATTACCCATCAGATACTGTTTAGGTATGAAGGAGGCAGATGTATGTTTTATCAACTGAAGAGGACCTGATGTGTTGAGTAAGAAAGTTTTACTATATAAACAGCTTTAATATTTGAACCGCATTTCAATAATCATAGAATCATTAGGGCAGGAAAAGACCTCTCAGATCATCTGGCCCAAAAATCCTCCTACCACCAATATCATCAACTAAACCACATCCCTAAGCACCACATCCAACTTTTCCTTGAACACCCCCGGGGACAGTGACTCCTCCACCTCCCTGGGCAACCCTTTCCAATGCCTGACTACTCTTTATGAGAAGAAATTTCTCCTCTTCTCCAAACTGAACCTCCCCTGGGACAACTTGTGGCCATACCATTTTGTGCTATTGATAGTTATCTGCAAGAAGAGGCTGACCCCCATCTCCCCACAACATCCTTTCAGGTAGTTGTAGAGAGGATATGTTAAATGATAGCAATATTTGAAAGTAATTACTGAAATTTATGGTGATTGGTTCAGATCTTTCATTAAGAGTACATTTGTACTACAAACTGACGACAGAGTAGAATAAGTGTGTTACAAGAAGTCAATATGTTTTTTAAAGCACTTTTACAGTCTCATTTTTCTGTTTTCTCTTGTAACTTCAGTAGATTAAATTTAAAAAATAATCACTTTGAAAACTATTTTTTTCACAAATGACAAGCTAAAGTAGTATGTAATGAAGTGAATAGTGTGGATGAAAAGCAAAGCAAAAAGAAAAACAACACTAAAAGCAAGCTTTGAATGATTAGATCATTAATACAACAAATACATGTAACATTAGCTTTATACAACTTGACAGCTTTTTAAATATGTCTTCCGTATGCATAAAACTCAAAGAAAACTCAAAGAATATAAAACTTGTGTAAAACCAAAATTAAGATAGCAGTATGTGACATAATAGCTTTGGTAAAATGTTTCTTGTTCACGATGTGGTTTCTGGAATCACGAAGATTAGTTCTTTGCATCAAATATCAAAGAGGCTGGCACAGACAGAAGAGATAAACTCTGCCCCCTTATGAGCTTGTTCATGTCGCTTCTTACCCATTTAAATTCTAGTTAGGTTGATAGCAATGAGAGAAAAGCTTTAAATTGCATTATTAACAATAGGTTAAATCTTAGACTGCTGATTAAATCAATTTCTCTGAGATAAAATCATAATAGGCATTGGCTGTGTTCATCTGACAAGAAACATGTCATTGGTAATGCTTTGTGTTGCCTTTAATGAGTCTGATTGTCATCTTCCAGCAGGGAGAGCATAAAAGGCACCTGCAGGTCTGGGTGAATGGGATCACTGATCGATCACGTTGTCAGGCCTGTCAAGCATTTGGGAACAGCTGAACAAGTACATAAAATCAATGCTGTGGTGTATTTATATGGAGTCTGCCCAGATTAGTCAGCTGATTGAAAATTTTGGCAGAATCAGTTACACGCTAAATATCATTTCCAAAATTATATTTACCTCACAGTACACATGTTTAAAAACAACTGAGTTATTTAATAGAGTGTGTGATTTTTTGTTTTTGAAAAAAAAAAAAAAAGAAATTTATTTATCATTTGGGCCAGCTTTGTCTCTGGGTACAACTGCAGCCTACCTGTTCTTTTTTTTTTTTTTTTTTTCTCCCATTTTTTGTCTTTTTTTTTTTTTCTGACATGAAAATTATTACATTCTTAGTTTTATTTATTATTGATATTTAGCTTCTGCCTCCCATTCACGGAAAGGTAGTTACATTTTAGCAATTATCTTTGCTACTGTTCAGCTATTTTACAAAGATTAGGTTATTCTAGAAAGAAAACAAGCAGATGAATAGAGGAGTCCCTCCTTCTCCCTAAGGAAACTGCATACTTGCTCACTGTGGTCCAAATCACCTCCCTGGTAATGGAGCCAGAAGAACCCCAACGAAGAAGTGCAGCAGGAGGAACTGACTGCTACATCCAGCTCAACCCGCTCCAGCAGCTTAATGGATGCACAGGTGAGCCTCTGGTCTGTGATAGTCTTTGGGGTTACTGGAAAGGGAAATAATAACATTAAAGCAGCAGTTCTGGGTCACAACCTAGAGTAGGTTTCTTTAAAATGGACAATTAACATGGTCATTTTTGCATGTAATGCAATGCATATCCATTTCTACTCTTTTGTTTTCTGATAAATTTTCTGTTTCCTTTCTGTCATTCCACATTCATATCTTATAATTCATTCACTGGCTTTCCATTCACATCCTAATCTTCCCTCACTCCATTTTTGTCCTCAGGGACTCACTTTCTCACAATCCTCTCCACCTCTATCTTCTTTCTTCATTTGCTTGCCTTATTTGTAGTCCATAAATTCACAGAGGGATGAAACTAATCTAATTCAAGCCTACATCCAAAAACAGCTTATTCAATTCAAAATTATTCTTTCTGTTGTTTATGATACATGACATTTTTTCTTTGCAGATGGATAGATTTCATGTTTGGACATGAAACGTATTACTAAGTTTGCAGGGCACTTTTTTTTTTGGGTTTTGTTTTCTTTGTCTTTTCCTCCTTTTTTTAATCTTCTCTACATTTTTATCTTTGCATCAGTCATTCCTGCTTTTTGACTGTACAAGCTTGTTCCAACATTGTGCCTTCATAGTTAGTTTAGCTCTGTCACTTTCAGTAGGAGTTAATCTGTTTAAACGTTGTCATAGTTGTAGTAATGTAACATAACAATGGCCAAGTTCAACTATAAAGTAATAACATAAAGTTTTAGCATAAATTCATTTATCAGGTTGGGATAATAGGCATATTGCTCTTTCCAGCCCACATGTTACTTGCAAAGTCCCTTCCAACAAGCTTCCTGGATTAGACCTTCTTCCTCCCAGCTGTGAAACAAAAGATCGTCAGATCTTCAAATCTTCTCACACTGAAACACCAGAAGCTTCAACTTCTGCAGAGCATGGCTTACACTCTATTTCAGGGGAAAATAAGGATATAAGGCTGAAGTTGTTCACAGTCATAGATATTTGAATTTTAGAAGACAATACAGTATTTTGCAGGATGATGTGTGTCCAGGTACCATTGTGATTGTTTTGAAACTTAGAGTGGATTGATAGTAATGCAACTGTGGTGGATTTAAACCTTTTAGAGTAAAACTGGAGAATTCACAAGATGTTCTTGTCAATGATGCAGCTGTGACTGTAAAGTTCTTATCTGATGAGTAGTGATAACTCTAAATTAAAACTCTTAATTACAATTCTTTATTATAACGTTATATATGAATGCATACCAGAAGTAGTTGGTGAGGGAGGAAGAAAAATCTCTAAGGCTGGTAAGAACTCACAGGTGAATGTTTTGAATCCAAATATTCCAGGGCATGTTGTACATGTTACTCAGTAGCCTGTATTGGAAATACTGGGATAGAGCTGTCTTCTCCATACACCATATTTCACTTAAATTAGTGAGATTTTTGCTTCCTTGGCAAAGGCAAGAATGAGATCTCGGTGTTTAAGTTGCCATGGCCAATGTAAAAAGCAGCATCTCACTGCAGGTGCATAGCCAGGTCTCTGCTGAAATGTGTGCAGTCTAATGTTAGCAAAAAGGAAAACACTTGTCATCACTGTCATTGATTTGCTGAAGTACAGCATGAGTGCTTTTCTTCCTTCCTTGATCTTTCCTACCCAGTGGTGTCATATCCGTAACATCCTCTTCCCCTCTTCTTTCTGATTACCAGATATAAGACTTTTTGAGAAAAATTCCATGATTTTTAACTTCTAAAGAGTCTTCTCTAATCTAGACTACTATTGTTAAAATCTGAATCATTCCAAAAGAACAAGCATCTAAATTTCTGGGAAGGAAAAAAAAAAAAAAGGTTTCAAACATGATATATGCATAGCTTTTTAGCTTTTTAGTTTATTTCTTCTTTGTCAACATCTCAGAGAACCAGGCAACTGGTAACAACAGTTGTACACAAGCAGAAAAGTATTGCCCGCAAGGTAACACATTCCCTCTCCCTCAATATCCCTCTCAATAGTATTTTTGTTCATCAGCTTTACTTCAATAGTTTAATTAAATGGTGGGACCAGAAAATGAGTGCTGCAACTCTGGAAGGTGATGCCATCTCTGCCCCAGTTTCACAAGTAGCCTTACGCGGCAGTTCATAGAAGAGCATTATTCCATAAGCCTCTGACAAGTTTGCTGCTGCTTCTCACTCCTGCAGCTATAAACTATCTCACTCCAGATAGCTATAAATTGGGGAATGTCTGTGTTCTTTATTTCCTCTCAGTAGGTGTCTGTAAATCAAACCCAGCAGGTGTATCCCCCGTTTTCATATGACCCCAACAGTTGGATGTGTTAATAGTACTAGCCACTCCAGATCCCTTTTAAATGACTGAATAACATTGGTGAAACATTTTAATTTTTTTCTGTGCTATAAATAAACTGCAATTACCATATACATGGATTAAGAACATGTCTCTGGAAAGCCTGCTAATAAACTCTGTTTCTTGAAAGTTACGTCTTTTGTATTACTGCCATGCCTCTGTTTGATGTCCTTGAAATCCTGATGTTAGAATTCTTTACCTTCCAACAAATTTGTAAATTATTTTTAAATTTATTCTAATTATTTCTCTAACATTCCAGTAGTTATATACAGGAATAAGTATTTATAACTTTACAGAATGTGAATTAGCATTTGAATTTTAAAATAGCTTTTGATTACCAAAATGGTTTCAAAGTAAATTAAAAAAAAAAAAATAGACGCAGACAGTGTCATATAGATTGTGAGTTCCTATGTACTTTAAAATGTATGAATTGTGACATGATCCAGGGAACTTTGAAACTACATCAATTATTTTGCATCTGGCATTGCACACCACCTGCATACTGAGAGAGCAGAGGGCTTGATGATTTTTGAAACTCGTTTCCGTGGATGGTCACATGAATGCATTGTATTGTTTTCTAGACAGATGGAAAGCTAGTAATGTCCCAGAATTCAAATATGACTTGTATTGAATCTTGGTTTATATTTTACTTTGTTTGTTTGTTTTGTTATTTTGGCATATTCTGATATATCAAAAGCAGAGCATTCTTTTCTGAAGAGCAACTTAAATTATATACATCTATATCCTTCCTTCTACATGCAGTTGGGCTGCCCCAGGGGAATTGAAAGTAGAATTTGATATATACTGTCTGAAAGGGCACATTTTAATATCTACAGTTTCATTGTTTATTGCGTTTCAAATAGATTCTGTAGCCAAATAAATTAATGTATGCAAACATTTGGCTCTTTCTATGTTCTTCAAATACTTTTATTTGCATCAGAGCACTGTTTCTAAAAATTTACTCCAGTACAGAAGATCAGTTTAAGAAGAAAAAAAAAAAAAAAAAGGGCCAGAGCTGGCACAGTGAAGGTATTCTTATTTTCCAATGGTGTTTCACATGTTGCAAGTAACACAAGCTCCCAGCAGCAGAATATCAAAACTCTGCACCACTAAATACAGTTGTACATAGCATAATAAAAAATGTTTGTACGTCCCTTCATAGTTTAAAATAATAATAATAAGTAATGCAATGCTGGTTGACAAAGAATATTGTCCTGGTTTTAGATGTAATAAAGTTTTCTTCCTAGTAGATGGTATGGTGTTGTGTTTGGGATGGAGGATGAGAATAATGCTGATAACACACCGATGTTTTAGTTGATGCAGAGGAGTTCTCACACAGAGCCAAGGACTCTTCCACTTGTCATGCTGCCCTGACGGTAAGGAGGCTGGTGGTACATGAGGAGCTGGGAGGGGATGTGGCCATGACAGGTGATTCAGACTGACCAAAGGGTTGACTTATACCATAAGGCATCATGCTCAACAATAAAAGCTGGGACAGAAGAGGGAAGAGAAGAGAATATTCAGAATAACGGTGTTTTCCTTCCCAAGAAACTGTTATGTGTGACGAGCCCTGCTTTCCTGGCAAAGGACAAACATCTGCTTGCTGATAGGAAGAAGTGAGTGAATTCCTTGTTCTGCTTTGCTTGTACACACAGCTTTTGCTTTACCTAGTAAACCGTCTTTATCTCAACCCCTGAATCCTTGCACTTTTACCTTTCTGATTCTCTCCCCCATCTTACCAGTGACAGGGAGTTACTGAGCATCTGCATGATGCTGAACTGCCTACCAAGGTTAAACCACAATGGATCCAGACTGGACACTGTATTCAGAAGTGGTATCACGGATGCCAAACAGAAGAGAAGTATCACTTCCCTGAAACCGCAGACTACATTCTTGCCAATGCAGGATAGGTTGGGCCACCCATGTTTCAAGGCCTCACTGCTGATCCAGGCTCAGACTTGATGACAGGGATCCACAGGCCTTACGCTTCAGAACTACTTTCCAGAAAGTCTTCTCCCAGTTTGTACTGGTGCACAAGGTTATTCCTCTCCAGGTGCAGGACTTGACACATGCCTATGATGAATTTCATGGAGTCCTGTCTGTTCTCCTCTCCAAAGTTGCATGGGCCCTCCGAATAGCAGCCCAGCCCTCCAGCACTTCAACCAGTTCCTGCAATTAATTAACATCCACAACACTGTTGAAAATCAGCTTTGATTTGATATGTCTGAGATCAGTAGACCAGTGGTCTAACCAGGACTAAACTTTAGGTCTCTGATGTCCTTGAATTGAAAGTCAAGTTGGTGCAGAAAGATCCCTATGAGGACTGATGAAGTATACCCATGTCAAAAGACAATCTTGCTTGGTGCAGAAGGGATTTTATGATGGATGAACCTTTAATCTTTATGACAAATAAAGATAGTGGAACATATTTCCAAAGAGGATGCCTCTCCACTCTCCAGTATTGTTATATGAAGGTAATATATGGATTTCTTGCTAGGAATTATTCCTCCTCTGCCCTACAAAAATATGTCAACTTCCTGAACAGAAAAAAAGTTATTCTTCCCTGACTAAAGTAATGTAGGTATAACACAAAAAAATTAATTGATTCAAGTGAATGGGTATTTCTATTTGACATTCTGTATTTCAAAATTAAGATATCTTTTAGATTGTATTTGCTTATAAGAAAGAATCTTTTATTCTTGCCTGAAAAAAAAAAAAAAAAGTTGGTTAATTTCTCCATCTAAAATGAATTTTTACAGGCAGCGTTTAACACCTTGAAATGTAAGGTGTTAATGGAAGTACTGACTGACCTTTAACAACCAGAACAAATGGCTTATCTGTAACAATCAGATTTAAAAGCTCCTCAGATACATGTGCAGGTGCTTGATTTTTGATATGTGCTTATTAGACAGAAATTAAAGATTTAAATGGTTTGGACTAACTTTTACTAGTAGAATTTTTGTTTTAATTGATACCCACAATAACAATGTGTTTAACCATCCAGTGTTTTGAATATGATGTAAGAACCATCTTCCAAATGATTTAGACTTAGTAATGACTTTTTATTGTTACTACATGGCTGTCTCTCACTTTAATGCCCCTGTGTCCTGATTCTCCTCTGCTTATCAATTTCATCAGTCTGAGAAAATAATTAAAAATTTTATTAACAACAAGGAAAATATCTAAGAAAACTCTCTGAGTTTGAGATTCAAGATTCAGACCCAGTATAAGAATTCCCCCAGAAGCAGAAATATTTAGTTTTAGGGGTTGTAAGATTTTATTATTTTTATTTTTTGGTGGTGGGAGTTCATTTGGAGGACTGTGTAATTCTCTTGTTTGTGTAATTGAACATATCTGTAATTTATCCATAGGTTAAATAGGTTTCTGGTCATTCTTAAATAGAATGACTCTTAAAAGTTTTAGATTATATAGGCTTGTGGATCAACATCACAGCATGTAGCTTACACCTGGATGACTCTAGGAAGAGGATTAAGATGAGCTAGATAATGAAGGATGGCAACCTTGAGCTATCCATAGATGTCAACCACTTCTTCTTGGCCAGGTCCTACACACTCCCTTTGGCAGTCAATTAGGAGAAATAACTATTAGAGAAATGGGGATTTATTTTGGTGTTATTCATCTGGCTTCCATATCAGCATGTATCTTGCATTAGATGTATACTTTAGGATGAAATGAATTACAAACTAAAAATGGCAATTGCTTCCAATAACTATAAGGGGAATTTAAATTATTAGCTCCTAAATAGATGTCTGTAATGCATCTGTTTTTTATCAGGTAAATTTCATATATTGCCTTAGGTGCCTAAAAGCTTTTTACAATATAGACTTTAGATTTATTTAGATTTAACTCAAAGTAAATAGACAGATTTTCAAAGGTACTTCAATGCATCAAAACAGAGTTAGATTCCCATTATTACGTTCAAGCATTGAATTAAAGATGAATTATTACCTAACTTTCTGAGATACACTTGAAAGTAATGTCAGCATCTGACTACAATTCTAGGCAATTGAATACATTTGAAAACTGAACCTTACATCTTCAATTTACCTCTGAAAGCAAAATGCCTCTGACAAAATAAATAAATCCAATTTCTAGAATTTCCCTTTATTTTCATTTCAGTATTTCATGTGCCACCTATCACAAAGGCACAATTAAAGGGACATAAAGATCATAAATGTATGCAGAAATGTGCTTGATTCCATTCTTTATGCAACTGACAACAGAAGAAAATTACGTAGTAAAAATCCTTCCTTACTTTCAATCACTTTCACAGCTTATTATCAAGGTTTTGTGTTGTATAGAGGGGCAGGACAATAACTTTGTACTATGTTGGAGTAACCCAAGTTTGTGTTAGATCTGGTCTTCATTTAGGATTCAAAATGAAACATAACTCATTTGCTGTCAGTGACTTTTTGTCACTGACATCAATAATGTCAATAATATCTTTTGGTAAATTTCAATTATGTATTTATTAAAACAAATATATTAAGTTGAGGTGTTGAGATATTGTACTGAGACAGATCTGATTTCTGCAATATCCACTGAACTACTTAAATCATTATATGTAATTATTAAATATAATTGTTATAATAGAGACTGTCCCACTTGGCTAGAAGACTCCTAAGAATGATGTACTAGAAAATAACTTTAAATTGCATGCCCTCGTCTCTCAAACTGCAGACATGAAGAATTTTCTATTTCCTAAGCTAAATATCCTTTCTCTGTAATAAGCATTCAGATAAATTACTCTTATATAGCTCTAATCATTTATCTCTGAGGTGTGTGGGAGATGACTTCTGGCTTTCCAATGAGAATTACTCTGAAATACTTTTCAAAAGTAATTTTTTTTTTTTTTTAAATTTCCTTTATTCAAATTATTTTTAATGCAGGAAAAGATCTATATAACCATATAACCAGGCTGGCACTTGAACCCTTCTGCAATACACAGTGGCAGTGCTTCTCTAAAGGAATTATAAGTGGTTATTTCTTGGATTAAAAGCAACGTTAAAATGGCAGAATTATTGCTATGATTCCTGGCAGCAGGTACAATTTGTTGGGATTGCAGATATTACAGTTATGTCAAAGCTGGGTCTAAATTTATTTGCTTTATACTGAGTGAACACAAAGAGCTCCTTACCTTGATCCTTCCTAGATGTTTCTGTTCTTTTGACTTGGAAATTTTCTAGACAGTTCATTTGTGTATTGTGAAGAATAAAGGCAAAGAAATTAGGAAAGCCAAAAGAAAAGCATAGAAGAGTTGTTCTGGTTTTGAGACTTTATATATATATATTTATGTTTCTTCCCATTGCTCTTTTCCTGAGCCTGTCCTGGAAGTGTCTTCATAAGCTCTGAACCGGCTTGAACTTTGATAAGAACTTCTCATCTTTTGTAGTATTTTCATCAGACAAGTCCCCCAGTAAAAGCAGAGCCACTTGAGACATGAGTGGGCTCTTCTGAAAACAATTCTCTTGACATGGCCTAATGAATAGGCAGTGAAGCTTACAATAGACTTTTCCTCCTGCGTCATCATAGTAATTGGACTGTGGTCATGGTCATACTGCAGAGCAAATGTGATTGCTGAAAGCTCTGAATCAGAAATGCTTTTGGTTTTGCTTGGCAATACCTGGTTTTATACCTCCTGGGTTCTAGGGGTTTTGGAATGGAAGCTTGTTCGCATTCCACTAGAGAAAGGAAGATATTCCAAGAAATTCTACCTTATCTTTGAAGCATATGGAAGAAAAATAGCACGTAGTATTCTCCATTTTATTTTATTTTCCCTCAATGTTTTTTACCTTAAAAGAGGAAAACTTATTTTTGTTTCATTGCTTTTTTCCCCCCTAAAAGCAATGAAGAAGATGCAAATTCAGATTATCAAATGGTATTTATAACGAAGCTACAAAGTCAGTTTTATCAAGGCAATTTAATTACAATAAAATGTCTCTCACTTATATATGAGGATCTACTTTCTATAGCAATCAATAGGAGTTTTTGCTTAAGGCAAAACAGATAGAAATTCCTTTAGAAAAAAAAAAAAAAAATAGGATTAGAAGTGTTTTTCCACCAGAGGCTTAAGAATAAAAAGAGAATTTATTAAGATAGAAAATTTGGAAGAAACATTTTAAAAATCAGTTAATGTATTATTAATAGGTTCATAGGGGATGTGGTTATCCAGCAGATTTAGATACTGGTCTCCTACAGAAGTGCCCTATTTGTCTGGCTTCTCCCACTCTTCCTCTTCTGCTCTCCCTCCTAGTTCTAGACTGCTCTAGATTTGAGAAAGTTTTCATTTTCAATCTAATATTTACTGAAAGTTTTATTTTTATTCATAGTCATTCCCTGAGTATTAATGCTTTATCAGAATCATACCAGGTACACATCAAATATTGTAAAGCCATAATCACTAAGCCAACCATCAACCTGACCTAACAAGTGCCATCTCTAAACAATGTCCCTTCGCACCACATCCACACATCTCATAAATGCCTCCAGGGATGGGGACTCCACCACTTCCTTTGGCAGCCCATTCCAATGCTTGACAACACTCTCCTTGAATAAATTCTTCCTATTGTCCAATACAAACCTACATAAAACTTCCCTGGAACAATGTGAAACCGTTTTCTCCTGTACTGTCACTTGAGAAAAGAGACCAATACCCACCTTGTTACAACTTCCTTTCAAGTATTTTTAGAGAGTAGTGAGGTCTTCTCTCAGTCTCCTCTTTGTAGACTAAACAACCCCAATTCCCTCAGCTGTTTCTCATAACACCTGTTTTCTAGTCCTTTCACCTGGTTTGTTGCTATTCTCTGCATATAGTCAAGCAATTCAGTAACCTTCTTGTAATGAGGAGACCAAAACTGAACACAGGTCTTGGTATGAGTTCTCACCAGTGCCATATACAAGGGGACAATCACATCTCTAGTCCAGCTGGACATACTATTTCTGATGCAGGCCAGGATGCCTTTGGCCTTGTTGGACACCTGGGCACACTGCTGGCTCATGTTCAACCTGCTGTCAACCAGCACCCCCAGGTGCTGGTTATCAGCAACACCATCAGACTAGGGACTCTACTGACTTGTTTATAAGCCTTATTTTCAAACTAATAACAGTATTCTTGGTGGAAGAGAGTTGCAGCAAATTTATAACATTTATAACAGTTTACAAATAACTAGTCCCTGCCATAACTACATGAAAAAGAAAATTTAATTTTTGAAAATACTTTCTGAAAGTCCGGTAGTTCTCAACAGGGTGTTTACAAGATGATAGTTACAGACTCTGGAGCAATTCATTCAACAGCTGAGCCCAGGGTAGAAAAGAAATTGAAAATAATGCAAGATAGGGTTGAATGTACCAGGGTAATACATTGTACTGTGTGGTATAATGTAAAAGATCATCTTGACATGCAAAAAGAAAGGATTAAAAAGTATGTGGAAAGTTATTTTCCTAGAAAGAGAAATGCAGGGCAGATCTCAAAGTGAAATGAAGTCATGCTATTGGAACACGTGAACTATTGATTCTGATTTAAAATGTAAACAGGAATTCCTCTGAAAGTTTGATAGATATCATCCTGAAAAGTTGTGGGCAGATTATGAATAATAGCCACTGTGAAGGTCACGAACAGGAGCTTTTAGGTCAACAGAAATATTAGGCTCGAGCTGTCTGTCTTGATAACCTAACATACCCTGTTAACCATATGATATTCATAAGTGGTTTGCAATATGCAAAGGTTTAGCACTGTATGCACAGATATTTTAAGACCATTTGAACTGTTAAGTAGTACATGATTTACTCTTTGCACAAGGCAGAATTTCTTATCCTAGGCTCTAAGCAACTTACCCTGGTTTCCTAACTTAACCACAAGGTCATCTTTTCTCTTGACCACAAAATTATTTTTCCGGTCTCATATGGGTATTTCAGGTCTTGTTCAATTATGGCTTAGATGCTTGCTCACTGAAGTAAGCAGCTGGAGCAGTTTGATATTATATTTTCGTTCCCATCAACCAGAGAATAACACCTCATTGACTCTGGCAGGAGAAACGAAGTATGAACCTTCATCAAACATTTCAGTAAAAAAAAAAAAAAAAAAAAAAAAAAAAAAAAATTAGTTTAAGCTAGGGTTTTGTGACCTGTAGTTTATGCTACCAGTTTTTACAGCAAATGTAATGCTTCTGAAGTTTGTTCAGACACTGCAACCTACACGTACAGCCAGAAGTGGTCTACAGTGGGAAAAAACCTTGTTACAGCCATTAGTGAAGCAAATGCATGCCTAAGCCTTATAGCAGGTCACACACCCTGTATATGTGGGTTGTAGGCAGTCCCAATAAGTGACTGTTTTACTTTCCTCTCCCTGTCCTCTGAACACAGAGAAGCAGCTTGCATTCAGCTCTTCCTGGTTGGTCTAATGGAAGAAAGACAGGATGTGAAGACTTGCCACTCTCTGCCATGGACTGTAGATGTGGTGAAAACTGTTCATATCTTCTCCTAACATATTTCCCAAGCCATAGAGCAAACTAGGGCACACAGTGTAGGTTCTGTGTGTCAGTCATAGAATCCAGCCATAATAGTTGTAATGCTTTCCATGCATAAATGTCGCCAGAGTAAAATATTAATGTGTGTTACTGTGAATAATCCAGAAATGTCATACTGTAAGCTAAGAATGTGGCTTCTCAGTTGTTTCCTGGCCATCTGTAGCATTGGAACAATTGCTGTGCTACATAATACAGATGAAATGTGCCTTTGTGATCTCTAACTCCAGGTTTTCTCTCCCATGGAACAAACCTTGCAGAGTACATTTCTACCACAGAAATGTTGCTGTGAAATGTCCTTTATTCCACAGTCATTGATTATGTAATATGATCTTTAAAAAATAACTGTGTTATGTTGTCTATGACTTCTCAAATTGAATGCTTTTTCTTGGGTATGTTCATTCCCTATGGTGCTACCATTTTCAGCCTAATAAATGATGTAAATTCAGAATTTGTTAAAGGATTCTTCAGATATTTCAAAAGCACTTGATTTTAAAAACTGTTGTTACCCAGGTCCTTAAAATGGATCTCCTTTGAGGTGACCCAGGTTGGAATACAAAATCACAGATCACTGCTGGTATTTTTGTCTCAGTCTAACCATAGATGTACTGCTCAAAGCAGTACATCTATGTACTGCTCAAAGTACAAGCTCAAAGTTACCAAAGAAGTTGAAGCCAACCTTCTTTCATGTGATGGAGGAGGTCTGGGAATGAAGAGTCTTGCTATTCCTGTGTAATAATGAAACAAGGGCTTCTGGCTATAACAGCCTTTATATGTGTGAAATGCCAAGTCATCTGTTAAAACACATACTATTGCATAAAATCTGAGTTTAAAGGTTTTTATTGTTGTTGTTGTTTGTTTGTTTGTTTGTTGTTTTGTTTTGTTTTGTTTTCCTTACAAATGGTGAATAGCCTCTGACTTGCCAATTGTTATCAAAGTTCCCATCCAGCAATGTCCTTCTGTCTTGCATAGCAAGGACCGAAGAGGGGGACTATAATCATACTCCCTTCTTTAGAGCAGTAAGTGGAGGGTGAAAAAGAAGGAGAGAAAGAAGAGAGGGCAGTGTAGACCAGCTGTAGTTTAGGCTGAGCTTCATGGTATAGAAATGTATACCGTAGAGCATCTGGAAAATTGTCTGTGGCTGGGTGTCCAAGCTAAAACAAAGTTATATCCTATTCTTTGGACCCCATACACTCAAGCAAATCACTCACCCACTGCATCCATTCTTTTCTGAAGGTGATGCCTTCCCTCACAGTGGCTCTGCACTTGCCACTGGGTATTCCAGCCCTTCATCACATGCACAGTGAATAATTTCCTTCACAGTTTGGATGTGTAATGTTTTCATTTCTCACTCTTTCTCTTTTCTTTGCTTTGTCCCATGGGTTAGAAATCCCAAAAGAAGGCATGGGACATTCCAAGGCTATTTGGTTTAGAAAGCAGCTGACATCATGTTTCCTTGTGCAAGATAAAAAGTTTTCAAAGCACATAGGTGTTGTTCCTATGATTGTCTTCAGGAAGATTCTCTGCAGAAGTGAGGAAGAAAAGTTTTTTTTTTTTTTTTTTCCCGAAAACTAAAGCTGGTCAGGCATTTTACAAAAGAACTTGGGAGTCTTTTTCAGGCCAAGAGAAATCAGGAAGTTTCAAAATCTACCTCATTTCCTGCCAGCTCACCTTCCTTGCTGTACGTCATCCATGTGGCTAGCTGACAGGGAGCCAAGAGCCTGGTAGCACTGCCTGTTCAGCAGGAGGGCTCTCAGATCTGTACCAGCCTAGGGTGGGAAATAATGACCATTCTCCTCTCTGTTTATAAATAAATAAATAAGTAATCAATCAATCTAGTTTATCTTGGGTTTACAGGATTTAAATTTCCTTTCCTGATAAACTATAGTCTCATCTGCGTATACATTTTTAGATATAGTGAAATACAAACTCATCTCCTATTTTCATCTCTCTCCATTTCCAAAAAGCTGCCTCTTCCTCCACATATTTATCCTTTATCAAAGGTAGGACAGCATATCCATCTTCTTTTTTTCCCTTTTCCTCAGTGCCAGTGCTAGCGACTGCAAGCTCCCCTCCACCCCTCAGATTCTCAGCAGGCAGTTGCACCAAGCATTAGGTGCACACAAATGCTGTGCCTGTGACATGCATTCAAAGTATTTTTAGAATTTAGTTAATAGGGACTCAGATAAAGCAGTTGCATTCCTGTGCTTATTTAGTTACAGGGGAAAAAAATGGGGTCAGTTCCATTTTCAGAGTTCTAAAGGTTTGAAGACTTTGTTTGTAAAAAATCTCCTTATTTTACACCAAAAAGGTAGCAAGTTATTTTCAGTTATGTTGACTATTTATATCTGTTTATTTCATTAGTAGTGTTAGCATAGTTTTGTGAACAGTGTGGGTTCATCACTTGGATATAAAGATTGAGCTCAAATTCTTTTTAAAATATATTAATACTCTAGAGGTAAATCAAATCAAAGAAAATTCCTCTTACAAACTATCTGGTTTTGGTAGCTTGTGCTTCAAAAACTTCTTGAAAAGAAGGATATATAATGCTAAAATATTCAAACAAAAATGGTACAAGATCTGAAAATATTTGGACATTAATCCACAATTGTTGTGTACCTTAAATAGTCCTCAGGTTACTCAGGCTACCTTGTCTCCAAGATACCTACTCCTCTTGACAAAATAATGTGTGATCAGATGCCCTGCCAAGTGCATATATTTTAATAGTAAATAAACAAGTTCCCAGTAGCTCTCTTGCAGTCGGCAAGGGAACTAATTTCCAGCTGCTTGTTTTCTTCTAACAGATGAATAAATACATTCCCAGTACTATAATACCTTCAGCAAGAAAATGATTGCGCAGTAACTCAAGGCCAAGATATGCTCATCCTGCTGTTGTTTATCTGAAAGCAGGTGGGATATTGCCCAGGTACGTCTCAAAAATTTTATAAGATCCTATAGGTGAGGGATATAATCCAAGAAAGATATCTCTCATGGGAAACTGTAATTGGAATTTTCCCTTTTGAATTATAATGCAAGTAATACGAGGGTGAGCAATTTAATGGGACTGAATTGGAAACAGAAAATGAAATCCAATGTATTAAGCTCACAGAAAATAGAAAAGACTTTAAAGGACAGAGTTCTGCAAAAAAATTTTTTCTTGTGATCTCAAAGGGCATCATAATTCCTCAAAATAAACTTTCTCTTTATTAATAG